GATAACTATACTAATAACGAAAGTGCCAATATTAGGTGATTTATCAGTATCATGAACTCTAAAACTATATAAGTACTAAAATGGTAAAATTTATATATTATAGAATGTTTATCCTACATAAATATATCAGAGTATATTTTATACTCTCTGTAGATTATGTTATCTGTGGTAGAAGTAAGATCTCTCTTAATAATAACTCATCTTGCTTAACGTAGTGGTTTCAGATAGTTAAATACTGCTATGGGATATACGTACAAGGGATGTTGTATTTTTTTACATCGATTATTTTAATCGTTGTAAAAAAAATAATAATTATTATTTATTATACTAATTATTGTTGCCATTGATATAAATATGTAATATCTACTTTATGTGAATAATTATATTAAAATCTCTGCATGAATACGCTTTATTTGAAAAGTTGTGGTTATATTTTATTATTTTTATTCATCTTTATTTACTCTATAAACACCTTTTTTAAATTGACGAAAATCTTTAAAAGCACTTCAATTATAGGAAGAATGGACATAATTTTATTATTTTGCTATTATGTAAAATCGTACGATGAAATAAGGAGAAACAGTTGTAAAATATCCACGGTTATCGATATTATGCCTAAGAAATTGCTAAAAGTTATTAAACGTTTTAATATAACTACGTAAATTGATCCTTCTAGACTCGTTGTCTTCCTGTTACTGAAGTAATATATGCGCATTTTTTAATTCCCAACAAAAATCTGCTTGATACCATAATATCCTCAGTAACTATACCGGTTTTGTAACTTTAGAGTACCTTAAGGTAAATCAAACATACAAATGTTTGTTTTATATGCGTTGTAGAATGTTAATATTATAGTTCATTCATAAATATATCCATCTGCCTGTCTGTTACGACTAAGCAGCTAAAACACGCTATTACATTTGTAACATGTATATGAATAAAAAAATCTCGTGTCATTACGGCGTTAAGATACGTTACATTTTAAATTCTCTAATGAAAATATATTTAAGTTTTCATATAATATTGTTATATAACCTCAAGTAGTTTTTAATCTATAGATGTCTTTATCGCGTTGTTTAGAAATTGTTCCGATGAAGTATTATTATTTGTTACAATTAAGTAACAAATTTTATGAACTGGTTATTTAATTATTATAATTTTAGTGTAATGTTTACTTTATTTTTAAACTGAAGGTACTTATAACGACTTAAATAAATAATCTAGATATACGTAACTAATTGTAACTTATAATAAAATTTATAAAAAGTTTATTTAACAACGGGCTCCGGCTAAGTAAAACGATGTTCAAATAATCATATACAATACATAATATTATTGTCAGTATAATAAATAAGTTACAAGTTATGTCCGAACTAGTTATGATAATCTGGTAATACATGACCACATCAGGTATAACAGGTAAAAATATATATATATATATACTAGGAAAATATTAAGGTAGAAAATACAAACTTTATACGTACATAGTCGACTACTGTTACAACATTATTTTGAATAAATGTTGACTATAAATAATTCCATTTAATACTCATTAAAACCGATGCAGTTTCTAACAACTAAAAGCTTATTATCATTACCTAAAAATTGATGGGCTTGTGTGGTCTCTTATACCAGTCGAGTATTTTTGAACGGATCTTTTTGCTGAAAGCTATTGATTCCAATTCTTTTATGTTTGTTTACTCTTTAAAACAATTTTTATCGATCAGTAATGGAGGCTTGATGATTTCCATTGTTGTTGACTATTCCGTTGTGTCCAATGACATATTTGTGATATTTATGCACAACATATATCATAATGAAATTGTATTAAGGTACACTAAAAATATATTGAACTTCTTAAAAATGTCTTTGTGATAAATAACTATTGTTAACATGTACATGACTGCCTGTGTAAAGGTCTTGAATTACACATTAGCGACATATTATGTTGGATTTGAATTCCGCGGTCATCGACTAAACGAACCCTTGATTCTCCAATTCCTAAATCCTAGGCTATAAATCTGAATTGGATTCATAATAATATTGCGTTGTAGTTTTATTTTATTTGTTAAAAAGGAAAACTATAGAAAGGGACTTAGAATATGGAGATATATTTTAGGTAAAACTATTGACATAACAGAACGAAGTATAAAACAAGAATGTACTAACTATAGATTTAAATACAAATTTAGAATAAAAAGTACATTTCTGATTAGTCAGACACAACATATTGGGATTGGATTGGAGAGCCGACATGCAGGCATCTTTCTTTCTATCTTATTTCGAGCATCCTTGGTTTCTCTATGCTCAGCAGATTATCCCTCTAACAAATGATTTGGAATTCCAACCTTATCTGCATATTAAAAAGGTTTATTCCCGTGTTGGTCCCGTAATAATTTTGTTAAGATTAGAGTCGTTTTATTAAGTGAAACTGTTTGTTTAGTGTAACGTAATTGTAAAATTATTTATGTGGTACGCAGAAGAATACTTATTTTAGTAGTTTATAAATTAATTCTTATACCTTTAATTTAATTAAAAGTTAGTATAATATATAACTAAGTGACATGCTAAGGCACATCATTAAAAATTAAACATCATCATAAATTTATCGATTTCATATTCCTATCTGCAAACCTAAATTACTGTTATTGGCCTAGATCTAAATGACAAGATAATTCTTGGCGGTGCCTAAATGATTATATACTAGTATATATATATATATTAGAATATACATATATTTACTAGTATGCTTACCCGCGCAACTCTGCGTCACACTTACTTAACTTTTTAATTTTTTTTTTTAAACCAATGAACATACTATCTTTTTAAATTTTAGCCTATGTGTTCTTCTCGATGTGTAAGTTATATTAGTGTATTGTTTAATCAAAATCCGTTCAGTAGTTTTTGCATCTAAGGGTAAACGTCCTTCTATCCATCCATACATAAAAACAGTCGCGTTTATAATATTTGTAATATAATTGTCTGTGCTCTGGGATAAATACAAAAGGAAGTTGAAACTCTCAAAAACTTCTTCTTCTTTCAGTTATAGGTAATTAAGCACACTTTTTTTTTGATGATAAAATGAAAGCAACACTACATTTATCTATCGTTAATCAACTTACAATATCCACACACACGTAGATAGGTACAATCGTTAATCTATGGTACAATGTATATTGTTTCTACATTACAATTGGCATTGCGTCGAAAAGTCGAATGACTACACAAAAAATGCATGGAGACACCTGAATAAAGCAAAAAAAATCGACATCCATACGAAAATATTCATCAAAGCATTTTTTACTCTACATATCTGGCAAGTTACTGTTTTCACCGAGATATCACTTTATAATCGTCGTCGAACTAGTTATACAAACTATTTAGTATTCATATAATAGTTTACATGTAACCACTTTGGAATACTCTGGCCGTGAAATTAAATGGTAAACATTTGTATGACAAAATAACTAATAGGTAATATAATACGGCCGAGCAAACTATGTTATCAAGCAAGACACTGTCAATATGGCAAACACTGATAACGGGATTGATAATAGCAGACAGTGAATTCTTAATAAATAAATCATGAACAAGCATCTCCAGAGTAAACAACGGACACATATGCAAAACATTTAGTATAACGTCGCGTTGTAAATACATTTTTATTATAATAATGCTATTAATGTACGACATAAACGTTAAGCAAATTATCTGTAACTATATGCCTTGATGTTTAAAGCAACAATAATAATAAACAAATGACGTTTAATATTATTGTTGCTAAAATCCAATTAGGGATTTAAAAATCCTCCTTGTTAAGTATACTTATTCCAATATTAAATACTATACGTCATTGTGTATTGAAAATATATAATATTTTTACATTACTATAAAATGGTGGTCAGAGTGGCCGTGGACATTACTGCGATTTTCAGAAATAGATAGAATAATTCAAGAGTATATTATAATACGTGCATATTATTTATACTATAGAATAGTCAAGAAATTTCAAGATTTGTTATGTGCGAAACCGGAGCGGGCGCCAGTATAGCATAAACGTCACTAACTGCTTGTCCCTAAAAAGTATTTCTTATATAACTACATCTGAGATTATTATTTTTAACAATTATTCCACAGAAGTTTAATAATCTATAATATTGTTTTTAATAAACCCAAAGTTTGTTTCCACAAAATTTTAAAATAGCAATATCCAATTATAATTTTCCAAAAGGTAAGAAGACTGCACAGTGCCTAATTAAAAAAATTGACTCAAAGAACACGTAAATGCGAAATATATTGACAATTGTATATCATAATATTATTGTTAGAATAACAGTAATTGTATAGTAATTATGATTAGTCGTCATTCCGACCATTTGTTACATTGTGAATACAATCTTGATAATGAGCTTAAAATATTGAAGTTCATTAGTAGACCAAAATATTCATAAGTGGCTCTTCAAGATTTTATGGAATATTTAGCGTATTTGGGAATTAACTATGAAGCTTCTGTCAATATATACTATATCGTCAGTTTATACTCTAATAAATCTGTTACTTTATAAGATTTAACTGAATGATAAGAAAAACATGAATAGGACTATTATTCATTCCTTTTTAATTTATGATATATTTAAAATAATTATCAATAACCCTGTTAACAATATATCTAATTTTTATATCATTTCAATATGTTATAATAATGATTTAGATAAGATAATATAAAAAAAGAAATAGGTTCGGAAATCCGATAAGTAAAATAAACACTTGATAAGTAAAGGTTTTGATTATTTTATAAAATAAAATCATATAAAAGTATACTAAAATTATATAATATATTGAAATAAATAAACATGATATAATATACGGAATAATCATGTACTAAAAGTAACATTAATAAAACACAATATAAAATATAAAAAATACATACCATATTGTTAGAGAGCAATGATTATACACACTAGTTAAAAAAACCACTGAACTGGAAACACAACACTAACCTTTTTTGTAGGAATCTCTTCCGGAACTCAATATAGGCAGAGCGCCCTTTATCCGTTTCGTCTCCAATACGGACGCGTCCGTGTAACGGCACTCTATGTCCGGATATTCCATAATCCATTTGAATGTCCACCACTAACATAAGGGTGAAGAATACTAGGAGAGCGCTGATTCCAAGCGCTAAGCGCTCTTTTAGTTTCATATTGAGCATGGTGCGCGCAGTCTGACGGCGCGGCGGTATCGCACTGCGCGCATGTTCCTCGGGCGGCGGCGAACGCTTAGAGTGGCGTACACACGCCGCGCTGCGCCGGCGCCACCGCGTACGCGCCCACCCGCTGAAGCTGAAACAAACGATCACGTTAGTCTTCATTTAATTTCACAAAGCCTACACTGCCTATTAGATGTATAATGTCTCTTATTTAATTTATTGTAATGCTCTTAATCGTTATTGGCCTTATCAGCTACCCCTGACAAAAATAGATGCGAGTGTAGCAAGAATTTCAAATCTAAGAAGCACTTATAAAGGCGTTGAACGCCAATCCCATCCTGAAAGATGTAATTTTACGGGGTGTAATCTGAGGGCACCGCTAGCGTAGATACACAAGTCACAAAATTTTCCAAAATATTGCTGGTGAAGTTGAAAAAATGAATATAAGGAAAAAATATTTATATTCATTAAACAAAATCATATGAACTGTGATATTTATATGCCCATATAACTTATAAGTATGAATTAGATTTGCGCTATTAAAATATAATATCATATGAAGCTCGTACGTGATGAATTTAGAAAATATTTTCTCTACATTCTTAAAGTGGCTTACAATCTTATAATGATGTAATAATATAATAACCTTGTACTTTTTAAATGTAATAAGAATGGTAAATGAGTTGTTAGTCCTTCTGGTGGTAAATAGCAATAGTCGACATGAACACCATTACGCATACGTTGCCACATGTCATGTCGCATTGCCATTCAGAAGAACTAAGATTCATGCCTCTCTCGTAGTTTCACAGGCTTCAACCGAAACACACTCTTCAAAAAGCTATACTCTGCGGGTGAAATAGTTATGACTAAGATCTCGGGCGACTTCCTACAAAATCTACTAATCTAAGGTTCATTCGTTAACAATAAATTACATCTCAATACATTAAAATACTCGTCCTCATAGAATTAATAAGAATTTTATCATTTCTTAAAATTAACACATGTACAAATACAAATATTTCTATTATATATTTTAAACGTACTCAATACGTCAACTTCATGTTTATACGAATATTAAACAGTAGACAGGTTAAGTCTCTATGTACATAAATATATCAAAATAGTTGTGAACAGAAATTGTATGCATTGTACAGAGAAAACAAAACAATTTTTTACAGCTAATATTTATCCCTTATACGATACGACTGATGTACCTTTATATCAGACCGGAAGATGAACGGTAAAGTAAATTCGAAAAGTAAATTCGTTTTAATGTTAAATTCTCTAATGACATTACGCATTTTCTTACTTTTTTTTTAAAACAATCATTTAGTGATTTTTTGTTATAAGTAATCAATTTGAGTATTAAATACCTAAATTGATTACATTGATTAAACCCTGCAAACAGCGACTAACTAGTCTAGTATTCATTCTACCTTTCATACCATATTTATGCTACTTTTGATTTGATTGACTGTAATAATAAATTTATTTATTTTAAAAAATAATAATAATAGTAAGTTCAGATGTCCATCTGAACTGTTCTGGATGCTTGATGTTATACATTTTTACTGTTCAATACATTGTAAGTTGATACATACTAAAACAAGTACTGGCACTGGTTTTATATATTTATGTATAAACAGATTTGATAATTGCGTTCCATATTATTGAAAAACAAGACGTCATCAAATTAACCGGAATACTAGCGTCTGTTACAAAAGACAATGTAATTTAATTTATTAGCATTTCGCAATACCTGCGTTTGCAGGCGTCATATTCTACTTGGAAATAGAATATTTTAGTAATACGACGCCACAAACGTATACAAACTAAGTAATGCTTAAAAATGCAAACTCAGTAACATTCTAAACCTATTCATGTCCAATATTATAGATACTTACTAATAATATTTATTGGTAAAATTGTTCTGTACTATGAAAACTTGGATATAAAAGTCTTCTGGAACATGAACGTTAACTAAAATAGATAATTGCATAAGATATGCAATGTTCTATAACCAATAATGGTCGTGATAACTCTTAGATGTCCCACTATTGAATACGGGACTTTTTCTATATAACAAAGAATTTAGCATGGGTACCATGATAACAATAGCTAATTATCCCTATTATGGGAATAGGGACATGGCACTGGTCAGCCAGCTTTCCCCCTTTGTGCTATATCCTGGCTCGTTGCAATAGGTATCGTAATCATAACAACCTAAGCCAAAATTCGAACCTCTAGCAGTACCATCAGACTGAAATAATATCCGGCAGGTAACTTGACCTTCACACTCTGTAAGTCCTTCTGTGGATTTGTAATAACCTCTACACTCGCCTTCATTTCAGTTCGGAGAAACTGAAAGCCAGCTGCGGCCTGGAGCTATTTAAATAGTGCAGAAAATGCTGCTATTATTAATTTTATTACGAATTTTCCCTCTCACGTATTAAATCAAATAAGTTATTGTAGTAAAATTAAGTTAATAAAGTATGACACTTATACTATATTTCAACTACGATTGAAAACTTAAAAAACTTGCTCTGAGTATTGATTTTTTACAAATTTTCCAAACAAGTATTACTATCGACGTACTTAAAGTTCAAATAAAACCTACGGTAATAAGAATTCTAAAAGTCTATAAATACTTATTACATACTATTTTCGTGGTGGTCAGGACATTTGATGAATTCGCGAGTAACTCGTATAAAAACAGATAAAAATTTTTTGTTGTAATTGTTTCACCGATATCGATTGATATTATACGTTCATTGTAATACTTCCGATTACTTGTTCACGTGTTCAATAAATATCATAATAAATTTAATATTAACTATACCCACTTAACGATAATAGGTACTAATGTTTCATTCACATCTTGTGTAAATATACAACACATTTGTTATAGACTTTACCTAGCACCTACGTAAGTACACCTCTTCTACGTTTATTTATAAAGTTTATTGTATTCTATTAAAATCATATAAATACGCTTGAGGAAAGCCTTGCCATCCTTTATTTCATTTAATCCACATTTTTCATTATATATATTATATTTATTACTACATACATTTTAATCATAATTAAATGAATAACCATTCTGTCGGTAATTATTAACAGTATTTAAGATATAGAGACTATTTAATTGTTAACTACCTTTGTATCTTTTTTGTAGTTCACACACAGTTGTAATATATTCACGTCAAGTTTTCGGTATTTATTTATTAATATTGTCTATAATATAGTATTATCAAAAACGATTAATTGTTTTCTATATATATGTTAAATTTTATTTAAAACGTTTGATACTTAGAATTATGTGCAGAATGTATGGTAAACAAGAAACATTAACGTTACAGAGACATTACGAAAACAATTTAGTAAAACAAACTTTTAACTTGCAATTTCTTATCATAATCTTGATCACCTCAAACATATATCCATATATTATATAAAAAACTGAATGTTTTTAAAATTTAAGGACAAATAATGTAGAAGTATATATTGTTCTACAAAAAGAAACGACAAATAATAATCATAATAAAATTTGTTAATATAAATATAAACACGAATGTAAATTATAACATTAAGGATTATTGAATTCCGTTCAGAGTTAATGACGCCATACTTCAGATATTCACCAATCATCCATCAACTTGTTTGTCAATTCAGTTAATTAAAAACTATATATTCTAAAACTAAAACATATGGATCCTTTTCGAGTCATTTACAAGTAATAATGTATTAATATTTTTAACCTACATACAACAAATTAACATGATGACTTTTACATCAAAGATAATTCTCCTTACCCGTTGTGTGGTAGTTCACAGGCTCAGAGGTCATTTTATGTAGCTGTCATTTATTCACACACTCGTTAGTTAGTCTGCAGGGCTGTCAGTACATTTTTTAGAGTTATGCTACTTTACATGTAAGTCAGTAATAACAATTATAAAGAAGAGCTTGATCAGCCAATTTTTTTATGTGCTACCTGTATAAAATATTAATCTTGTACGTTTACAGTTTTGTCGCGGGTTCGATTCCTCGCACAACGCAAACATTTTTATTTATAAGTAGGATTGATTGATTATATGCAATACAAAAAAAAACTTTTTTATATATTTACGTAATATATCAGTTGCCTTAAAATAAATGATTAAATTTTTAATATTATATATATTTATGATTATTCTCATAAAAGAGAATCGTGCATTGTAAAGTAATTATGAAGATAATGATTATGGTATTTGTTATGGAGTAAGTAGTTTTTTGGTACTAGATATAGTAATCAAGGAGGATACTGACTGCTCAACAAACAATCTGACAGCCCTGTAAATCAGTTACATTTTACACATTGTGTTTAGTTATCCCGATAACGTGCGTAAATAAACTGACATAAATAGGAGCGCGTGTAACAAAACAAATGAATGTATATATATTACGAGTACATTTATATACTCCCTTTACATTTATATACTGTCTCAACCGAATACAAAATAAATTTAAATTATATTTTTACGATGATTGCGCCAATTAACAAAATTACAGGATTTTGATAATTCTTCTATTCTTCCTATCCTTGTTTACGGTATTTGTGTATATTTATATAAAATAAGAATGAATAGTATGTATTTTGTTTAAAAAATCTGTTTATTTCAGAAACAATAATTGAAAAGATAACTATATAATAATTCTACTCCTTAATTGAGCTTCTCAAGTTAAGTTATTACCTGAATTATAAAGTGGTATAAAACATTGATTGCTGATTTAGACAAAAAGATAACTAAATTCAGTATCTTATTAAACGGAACTTAATAATTGTATTCATTTTGTATCACATAGCCCTAAAATGCTATAATAACATATTAATATAGTTAATTACATACATTTAACGATAGATTGAACATATATATTATATGTTATATGTACATACTCTACCAGTATGTACAGATAACATTTTTATAGAAGTAATTGTCATCATCAATATAGTATAAAATAAGGGCGCTGCCGCTGTCTGCCCCTATGTATGCTTAAATTTTTAAAACTACGCAACGGATTTTGAAACGGTTTTTTAAATAGATACGAGTGATTCTAGAGGAAGGTTTATACATATAATATATGAAGCCGGGCCGA